TAGATAGCATTTAATATTATCATCATATCCATAATATTATATGTCATAGATTTATGTTTTTAATTCAAACAAAATTGGAACTCAAAGCTGTATTATGTGTAGAACTATTTATAATAATTTATACACATGTAAAATATAACAAAATCGCAATTTCAATACATATTAATTATTAATTGATGATCAAATATATTGTTAATGTCATTAATTTTGTTTAAATTTAATCCAATTAAACATAATTGATTAAATCAATTAAAAATATTAAATTAGAACATATCCATTTAACTTAATCTAAATAATTAGTAATTGCACAATCAAATGAATTACATGTATTTAATTCAAGATTAGCTTAAGAAACTCATGCTGGATGTGAATCTGATATAAATAAATCACTAGTAATAATACTGTTATTGTTAATAATCCTTTATGATAAATTAAAATTTGGAGCATTAAAGGGTTTTGTATTCCTACAATTAATTTCTATGTCCAAATAGATTAAATCTATTATTTAAAAGATGATCATACTACTACTCATAAACATACTAATATAGCACACCAAATTATATTTCTATAAGTTAAAGTTTTGATTCTAGAATTTAACATGCAATTTTGTCTAGCCAGTCAAAAAAGGACATCCTAGAAATAGAAGAAAATGAACTTTGGATAAAAAGATAATAGGTAACATTTTATAAATAAATTGAACTAATAATCCTAAAATTCTATGAATTATTTTTTTTAAATTTGATAATTATCTTTTAGGAGTGCAGTTTTAATAAATACAAACAATTTACTATATTATTATTATCAAAATTTTAGCCAATTCATTTTAAATAAACTTATTAAAAGATGTATTTAGATTTTAGCGTATAATTATTGAGAATTATAATTATTCCTCCCATATCCAAAAACAACACAACAAATTTGACTCAAAATATATATTTGGGTATGAATATAAAGGATATTAAGTTTAAAGTGATTAATATTCTTAGGTAGTCTCTAATTCTGAAATACAAAGGACTGTAAATTAAATTAGGATTAAAAAGTTTTTTCTTTAATAAATAAATATTTAAATACATATTTGTATAAAAATTAATTTAAAGTCTTGAATGAAATTTGATGATCAATTGATAATAAAGAGAATGATAAGGAAATAATTAAATTATCCAAAAGATCAGTAGGAATTCTATAAGAATAATATTCCCTGAATTGATTAATAATCAATTATAAATAATCATTATCTTAATAGATCATTTTTTATTTTTATTTTAACTTCCATTTTAATTTAAATAAGCCGCATTTGATTTACCTAGTCATTTTGTAATTAATTAAAAACATAACGATTAAGTTTATGTTGATTTAATTAAAATAAATATTTTACAACTACATTAGAAACTCTCACATTTATGTTGATTTGTATGGAAGGTACCTAAATAAAAAATCTAAACATTATAAAGCTAAATATTGATGGTTTAAACTATTATCGCTTGAAGTAGGAAAATTAATAAAGTTATGAATAGCATCATATTTATAAAATTTGGATTAAAATAAATTAAAAAAATTAGAATCTGTATTCTATACCTCATATCAATAAATAATCTTTTCTAAAGCATAATATATAATTCAATACATTATTATCAAATATATGACTTATTTAATATCCTTTTGGGAAATATTATTAACTCTATGAGCTTTTTCTTTTTCATTTTCATTTACACTTCAATAACTATAAACAAATCATTTGATTTAATCTGGGCCTATCTTTATTTTCAAAAAAGATTTTTTGTTATCATTTTTTTGCAGTTTATATATACTCTATTTTTTTAGAAATATTAATATGCTAACCATAAATAATATTTAAAAATAAGATAAAAACTTTCTTTTCTAAGTATTGAGGGAATACTTTGGGGTATAGTTTATATTATTCTATCAAAGATTTCATAAATTAATATACATTTATCCACAATTAAGTCACTTGAATGAACATTAAAATACTGTAAAAGATTATGTGACTAAAAACAAATTACAAATGAATAATGTATATTTTGAATTTACTAAATGATATAAACTTTTATCCACTATTTATTAAGACTTAAATTGTGTACATTAACTCCCAAAGAAATTGTGCAAATATGTTTACATGGTCAAAATCTATATCTGCTATAAAAATGTAAAGTTTCTAAAAAGATCATAGAATTATGAGATAAGTATATTGAATAATATAGTTAGAACTTGAATTATATAAATGATATTTCAATGCAAAAAAAAATAAAAAGAATTATGAAAATTCATTTAATTTGCTCAAAAATGAAAAAATTAATTGAAAATAATAAAGAAAGTAGTTAATTATAATTATGAAATGTTTTAAAGTGGAAATAGTTTAATTTAAGTTCATTGAGAAATTAATGAATTATTAAGGTGAATGTATAAGTTGATTCTAAGATTAATTAAAAGTGATAAAGAGATAAAAATGAAAAATCAAAATAAGAACAAATAATTAGAAATATTGTAAAATATTTAGTATTTCAAATTTTTTTTTTTATTCATAATATTTTATTAAATAAATTTAAAATCTATCAATTTAACATTAATTTCCATAACATATAGAACCCTTTTTCATTCATTTTATTGGATTTACTAAACTTTTGACTAATTTAATTCCTTTAAGTTAATTAATAAAAATACTATTTAGTAATATATAGTATAGGTAGGACTTTTTATTATCATTGTTTAAATACATTTCTATTCTAGCTTTATTATTTTAATTATCAATCTAATAATAATAATTTTGAAAAGAATATAGATTTTATTGGAAAATTATCATATTTTTTATTTTGATAAGTTATAGAATTAATGTTGTAATGTGGCAAACGTATTTATATGAAAAAAATTTTAATTAATTCAACTATTGTTGAAGTATTACTTAAAAAATTCTCTTTTGAAAATCAGATGTCTTAATTATTAAATCATTTTGACATATTCCTAACAAAAATAAATTAAATTTAGATCTTTATTATAAATTTCATATTCAAATAATAACGAATAAGATCTTAAAAATTAATTAATTCATTTTAACTTAAATTATTAATATATGTATACTAATAGATTTGGCATTTTTTTTGGAAAATTTTTCATTCTATCATTTTATATATTTATTAATTACCTTAAGAAATAATATCAATATAAAAAAAGTTATAAAACAACATTGTCAAAAAGTTTTAGTGTTTGTTATTTTATGCTATTCATAATTAAGGTTTTAGAATAGTAACTAAATAAATTAAAGTCTCAGAAAATAATTTTTATTAAGATTAAGTATAATTCCTTAAATATTAAAAATATGGAGATATGAATGTAAAACTCTATCAAATTAAGATGGATTTATATCTTGATAGATTAAACTAAATTCATAAATGTTTTATATGTTAATATCAAAAAAGAAAAATGCTTTAAAAGCAACAATTAATTCAAAACTGTAAAAATTTGTATTTTTTTATGATTTTTATTCATAATTTATAAGGTTTAACTTAAAGTTAGTTAATTTTAGATAACACAAAAATTAGTATAAAATAATAATTGATTTATCTTTAGGACATATTGTAAAATATAGAATAAAATCGAAAAATAAACTTTATAAAATATTATATCCCCATATTAAAAAGTTAGTTTATCTACTAAAATAGATCGATTTATTCTTAGAAGTCAATTTCTTGGTGGCATCAGATTTAATTCCAAATTATATTAAATTAAAGTAATTTTGTAAATCAATATATTTTACATGTTTTAATTTCTCTAAAAAAGGATAAACATTTATTGAATAATATATTATAATGAAAATCATCTTAAAGAAATAACATTAAACAAATCAATAGTGGTACAAAAATTTTATTGATTCTTTCTTTGGTTTTCATTTAATTGTAAATCTAAAGTTAAAATTAGAGATTAAATTTAATAAATATATAAGAAATTTTAGAAGATCTGATGTATGGTTAATAGAGTAGCGAAATAAATATTAATATCTACTTTTTATTGTTGTAGCATGATAAAATTATTTAAAAAATAAACTCACAATCATTGTTAAATTATATTATTATTTTGTAAACCAAGACAATCTGTTATCTCATTTACAAAATAATTTTAATTAAAACTCGAAGTATTTATAGATCTTATTGATCAATTTACTAATAATGTTTTTGTAAATTAAAATTAAAAAAATTTACTTTGCGGAATATCATTTTGAATTGTTTTAAATTAGAATAAATTGAATATTAAAATAAATATGGTTCAAGAGTGATATTTTAAACACTTGTTCTAAATCCAATTATATTTCCAATTGTTTTGAAATGTATGAATTAAATTAAAAATAAAATTTAGTTACATTATTTAATGAAAAGATTACACCTCCTTTAAGATTTATATATTATATCACTTGTATTTTGAATGAAAATAATTTCTAATTTGGCATCGTTTTAAAGATCTCTCATTCAATAATAAAATGTTAAAATAAAATTGTTCTAAATGTGGACACTAATATATTTTAGAGATTAGATTTGCTTAAGGAATCTCTTTAAGAATAAATAAAGACTTTATATAAAATCTTAATTGACTAACTAACTTATTTATTTTTATTATATGGTTTTGGGTGGACAATGTAATCAAGATTAAATTGTTTAATAAATATATTTATAATTTTATACATTAATTAACAAATGCTTAATTGATATAATAATCATAAATGAAAGAAATAAAAAATCATCTAGGGACTTTATATAAGTATTGAGACTTATAAATAATATTTTCATATATTATAAGAAGAAGCAAGAAAAACACTACAAAAAAAATTTAGAATTTATGATTATGTTCAAAATTAATCAATCACGTTTGATTTAATATTTATGAAATGAAGATTAAGTATAAGAAACTATGAATATTATAGATAATTGAGCTAAATAAGAAATAAAATATTATGAATAGATGATAAAAAAAAATAATATGATTAAAAAGATAAAATTTGGGACAATCATCAAAGATATTTAAATTTGATGTAAAAAATAAATATTTTAATCAAACTTTTAATATATTTTATTGATGCATATAAAATTATTTTGATAAATCTATTTAATTTCCAAGAAATTAAAAAGATGATAGATCGGTAAAATTTTTAAAATTAAGAATTTTAATTGTAAATTCTAATAAATCTATTAAATTATATGTAACATTTTAATATATAAACACATTCAACTTCAATATTGAATATCTGTAGCATAAATTGTGATTCAGTAACTGGATAATGGAAATGCTTTCTAATATTTGCTATTAATTTTATCATTTGTAAGGATTATGAGAAATATTACAGAACTGAACTATTATTTCATTATGCTTGATTTTTAAGATATTCTTAAATCTCTCATCAGATTAAAAGAAGCTTCTTTAAATTAAATTGAATTAAACTTTCCAAAGCCTCCAAAAAATAGATAATAATTAAATTTTTTATCCATTAAAAATATTCGATTCTAACTATTTTAGTTCAAATACTGTGTAAAATATTAAATACCATTGTAATCTCACAATCAGAATAAGTTAGAATACTTGTTTTTGATCTTCTGCTGTAATTATTTCATAAAGAATCATACCAAAACTATAAACATAAGAGCTGTTTCTTAATATGATTCACCTCTCCTTATTTCTGAAACCTTTCAATTAGGAGTTCCTATTATCGCACATTTATTAACTTCTTCTCCATCTTTTTATTGAATTCATATTAACATTCCAATTCTATAAGAAGATTACAAGACTTAAGATCAAGGCAATATACTTTTTCTACTACCATGTCTATAATTCATTCCTATTTAGATTAAAGCTTTTTCTTTTATGTAGATGATCGAAAAGACTACATTCCTAAAAATATTCTGTAATTAAATAGTAGTTGTATTTCCTGTTAAATAATACTATATGAAGATTTGATATAACTTCAACTTCTTTAAGGAAATCAGCCATTTAACACCTTCTATAATTACTTATCCAATATTTAGTTAATGAAATAATACTATAAGTAATTTCTTAGATAAATAATGTTATTAATATCTTGATAAAACATTTGTAATTTCAGTAATTTTTTTCCTTATTCTCTTCTGCGTTATACTTGAAAGTAATAAAGTTTTTGTTAAAATTTAAATGTTTCTTTATTTCAATTTAATAGATATTATTACTAAACTATTCTTTTATCTCTTTACTGTGATTAAAACCTTCTTAATTAATTTAAACTTTCATTCAAAATTAAAATCTCTATCTTTTAATTGAGAAAATAACTAACCTTTTTTGAAAATTCTAATATAAATAATTAAAATTACAAAAGATGAAGTAAAATGTTAGAATAATCTTTAAGATATTTTTTAAATATACATTATAAAAAATTTAATTATATATTCCACCATCTTCATCATTGTCCACACCACGAGTCTTATTTTTATTATTATCTTAATTTTTATTTTAATCTTTTCAATTTTACTCCATATATGAAAAAATGCTTTAAAATTTTTATTATTCTCTAGAATTATATCATCCTTTTCTACCTTCTAATGATT